TAAAAGTTACATTTTCAAAGAACTTCAAAGCGTTCTGCAGTACTAAAAGAAACTCAGATCACTGACCTCTATGTCCATAGATGATGATGTCTGAATGCACAAGAGGCAGATCTTGCTGTTAAGAAAGAACATTTAATGAGAATTGTTTGCTCTACATGATTTTAGGCAAATTACAAAGAGCCAGAACAGTCAGGTTAATTGCCATGTTTTTTAACTCCTCACTGCCCTTCCTGTGGCAATGCTGGTGACACCCTGAGGGACACTGAGCTCTGCAATCTCTTTTATAAAGTTAAAGGGAGATTTAAATGCAGCTCAGGTAACAGCACAGACCCTTGTGAGACCAAGCAATGCAAACAGGCCCACCCCATGGAATGGGAAAAGCACATCTATTTAAACTAAAACAGATCTGAGCACCACAAGAACCAAAAATCAAATATTTGTCAGAAATCACCTGGGACGAAACAGATCCAGATGGGGATGAAAAATACCCCAGTTGTCTGTACACTGATCTGCAACTTTCTCTGTAATTTCCCAGGAATAAGCAGGCAGGAGTTAAAAAAAAACAACTTACTGGACCATGTCAGCTACGTAGTCTTCCAGATAGCAGCTATTGAATTTCACCAGGTTCACCAAAACCAGGAGGAACTCAGAAGTCAACCCAACATCCATCCACTGTAGCACAAAATCAGCTAAAAAAGGAAAAAAAACCCTGTTACAATACACCTTCCACCCAGGGATGATACCACCACCTTTTTCTGTAATCACTGCATGTCTCTGCCTTGATTTGTTCCCACCACAGTGAAGAGGGGTTGGGACAATACTCACCCAGCTCCTCCTCTAAGTAGGTGATGTATCTTCCATTCTCTGTCAGAGCCTTGAACACTTCAAGCCTTTCATGCAAATCTTCATTGGAGGGATAATCCTTAATAACCTTAAAAAAATGGGCTCTGAGGATCCCTAATCTCTCACCCTTGAAATAAAGAAAGGGAAGGGGTTAAGGCCTGGACATTATCAAGGTCTCCCTCGGTAATCTCCATGCTTGAAATTATCTTTTTGTTGAATCAATGTCTATGTTCTTCATAAGCATCCAGCCCTGCTTTCTCACAACACTGAAAACGACAGCTTTGGGCTGATTCAGCCCTGTATTTGTGCAACACGTTGGGAAATCTGAAGAATTTGTTGTGTGCTGACCTTGGCCTGCCCAGAAGTGTCTCACACAGAACCCCTTGCATACCTGAAACATCAAAACCAGCTGCAAACTGGGACTAGAAGGTCTGGGCAAAGACCACGTAAAATCTGCTGAATTATGCTGAACTTAACCCAAAGTATTTCCTCTTTCTCAAGAGCATTACCCCAAACCAGAACAGCTTTCTATGAGTTGTATGAAAACTTTTGCTACAAGGTCAAACCAAGACTTAAAATTAAAATGCTTCTTCTTTTCATTTGTGAGACACAACAGAAATTACAAATATGAACGTTTGTAGAGAAGAGCTCCCTGGAGCTTTTCCCACTTCCCCCCTGCACAAAGGCCAGTTTAGGTGAGTGTTCTCTGTCCCCTGGGGCTGTCACCTGTCCCTGGACGATGGACTTGAGCAGGTGAAGCACGGCGTGCCTGGCCTCGGCGGGACGCTCCGGCTGCAGCATGTCAGCCACCACCTTCCACACGGCCTCCACGGCGTGCTGGCAGCAGAAACAAAAGCACAAACCAAAACAAAGGCATGAGGCAGGAAAGCTCAGCTCCTCCTGGGATCTGAAGGCCACAGTGAATTCTGGCAATTCATGCTGAAGATCCAGCGGTTTCACATCTGGAGTTCTCTGTTCTGAGGGACACTCACCCACCTGATCAAGCCCAGCAGACACCAAATCCTGCACTACACCCCAGGAACTGCAATTCCTCGTTCCACACTCACTTCAAGTGGGAATATTTGTGCAGAAGCCTTCACCCAGCCACAAGATGAGTTCAAAACCAATTGGGGGCTGCTTATTAACAAGCCAGGAGGAGATAAGGAAACCCCTCTAAACATCATCTCCTATGAACTATCCTGAATATCCCCAGCATTCTCCTTCCAGGAAGGTCCAGGAAGCCCAAGAGCTCCATCCTCTCTGCTCCAGAGCTGGAAGGTTGGGCAGATTAATTTCCCTTGACAGCACAAAGCAGCCTCTGGGATCACCCATTTTAAGAAGCTTTCTAAACAATAGGAGTCTCTTGTGATAGTTTGAGAGCTGCTGCTTAAATTTCCATCCTTCCAATACTCACTGAACACTCTGGAACTCACCTCTTCAATTTTTTTGGTTTTTGCCACTTCACAAATTTGACCGATGGCTCGTATCCTGTTACTCAATCCACACTCTATGCTCAGTTCCTGGAAAGAAATGGAGAAATAAGCTAACAGTTTATCTTACCAGAAACATTTATCCATTTCTCCAAGGGGAGAAGGAATTCTGGTCTCCTTCTCTCTCTTTTTTTTTTTGTATTTTCCTCACTGTGTGCCAACTATTCTGCTTACAGACTTGTGGTACCAATTACTGGAATCAATTATTTTATTTTTCATTTCCACAGAACCGTAAGGCTTTCATAAAACAGAAACAGCTCCCAGCTTGTGGGAACTGCCACCGCAGAAATTTCATCAAGCTCAGACTGTCAAAACAGAGGGCACAGGGAAATACCCTGTAACCCAACATAACAGGTATCTCTGGAGTATTCAAAGAGTGAATAATCCAAATGCTGGAGCTGCATAGTAGCTGAGTTCTCAGTTCACTGGAGAATGAGTTGAGAGATCAGGAGAGGGAATGATGGAGAGGAACCGAATGCCAAAACACCCAGGAAAGGAGCGAGCCCTCCCAATCCCCTCAGCTGAGGTACCCCAGGCACTACCCCAGCCCTTCACTCAGTTCTCACACCTTGAGTATTTCTGCAGTGATGATAAACTCTGTCTGCTTGCCCTCCGACGACTTGGAACTTCCCCGGGATGTTCCCAGCCCCAGGAGGTTCCTGAACTTCTCCTTCAGGCCGGAATCTTTGCTCTGAGGCTTTGCCATTGCTGCCAAGCACTGAGGCCCTGCAAACACAGAACAGGGTTCTGCCAAGGGAGGGCCAAGGGGAATATTTTAGCAGGAAAACCCCAATAACAGCATCACACAGGGGCTTTTCCAAAGTGTGTCTTGAGCCTTTTCAAACATGGAGAAGCCCAACACTGAGGAAACACAAGGAGCTCGTGCTGTTCCTGCCTTCGGGACACGCATCCTGCAGCTCTCCATGGGCGCCTTTGGGATACCCTTTCCTGGGAGCTCAGAATGCCCAGCCCACCACACACGCTGATTTTTGCAGTCTATCCACATGCACACACTTTTTGGAGGGTGTGAGCTGGACACTTGCTCCCAAAGCAAAGGCCAAGCACACCAGGCTGTGCTCTTGATGTGGAAGTGAGGAAGGACTTACAAATCTGAGTGCTGGAACATCCAAGTGCTGCCATGGCAAGAGAAAGATGGGGCAAGAACAAGGATGGCCATTACAATAACCCCCAAAAACTGCCTCCCCCTGTCCCTTGGGGACCCTTTCCCTGGGCACATGACCCTGCACAACCCCACACTTCAATATTCCCATGGACATCCATCCCATGGCCTTCCCACACCCCAGGCACAGCAGTCCCTGGTGATACAGAGCCTGTCCCTGCATCACAGGGGACACGCCACAGACCCTGCCCAGTGTCACCGGGGGACACGGCCCCCTGCCCACCATCCTCGGGGACACACACAGCCCCCAGCCCTCTGTCCCCAGGGGAGTGCTCATCTGGGGACCCCACAGCCCTAACCCACCCCGGGCAATGGCACATTGTCCCCCTGCCACCACCAAACAAGCCAGGACATGTTACATCCAGGAACCTGGGACAGTGGAAAGTGGCATTCTGGTCTCCTTCTCTCTCACATGTCACATCCAGGACATGTCACATCCAGGACACGGCACATCCAGGACATGTCACATCCAGGACATGCCACATCCAGAACATGGCACATCCAGGACACGGCACATCCAGGACATGTCACATCCAGGACATGTCACATCCAGGACACGGCACATCCAGGACATGTCACATCCAGGACATGCCACATCCAGGACATGCCACATCCCACTGCCCAACCAGGACATGCCACAACCGCTTAGGGACACACAGCGGGGGTCACACCACAAAACACCCCGAACACAGCGGGGTCATAGCACAGACCCCCGAACATAACGGAGGTCACACGGAACATAACGGGGGTCACACCACAGCACCTCCCGAACACAACGGGGGTCACACCGAGCACAGCGGGGGTCACAGCACATCCCCCAAACACAGCGGGGGTCACACCCCGGACCCCCCGAACGCAGCGGGGTCACAGCGCGCCCCCAAAGCGCGTCCCCCTCCCAAGGTGCCGTGTCCCCCCTCACTCACCCCGAGCCCGGCCCGGCCCGGCCCGGCCCCGCCGCCCCCGGCCCGCTCCGCTCGGGGCCCGGTGCCGGCCCCGCCCCCGCGGGAGCCCCGCCCGTTCCGGCCCCGCTGCTCTCTGGGCCCGGTAGTTCGCGGGGCCGCCATGAGCGCGGCCCGGGCCGGGCCCGGGGCGCTGCGGCGGCTCCGCTCGGCCGGGGGGACCGCGGGTACGGACGGGGGATCAGCAATAGGAGACAGGGATCGCGGCTTCCTGGGGGAACGGGGAGAGGGGAGATTGCTGATTGCGGGCAGTACGGGGAGGGAGCATCGGGGCTGTGTCGCACATGGAGCGGCTGGGGCTGCACCGGGGGCCCGGCCTGCTGTGACACGGGCTGGGTGTCCTTGTCACGTCCCTCTCGGAGCTCGGGATGTGGCTGTCCTGGGCTGGGGATGCACCTTCAGCAGCCTCACCTGTGTTGTGTCCCCATCTGTCACCTTTCTGCAGTTTGTCTCCCAGCTCCCTCAGCCCTCCCTCAGCCCGTGCTGGCTGTGCCTGGCGCTGCGCTGTTCGCTTTGGGACTGAGGGCGGGGAGCTCGCCCTGCTCGGGCTCCCCTGGCTGCTCGGTGCTGTCACTGAGCTCTGCGAGCGGTGGAGGCAGCTTTCCTCAAGCCTGGAATGTCCCTGCCATCCCCTGCAGGGATCCAGGGCACGGCGGGCACCCCGAGGCCGAGCAGCAGGAGGAGGAGGAGGAGGAAGAGCCTCGCCATCGCTTATGAAGCGGGACAGGGCGATGGGGCCGAGCCCCGGGGAGAGAGCTGGGAGCCGCCGGCCTGGCGTGAGCAGCTGGAGCGCATCCGGGAGATGAGGAGCAGCAGGGATGCTCCCGTGGATGAGATGGGAGTGCACAAGTGCTACGACATCAGCGCACCTCCGCAGGTACCAGCAATCCCACTGGGATCAGCATTTCCACGGGAACAGCATTCCCAAAGGGACAGCATTCCTCCAGGGAACAGCATTCCCAGAGGGATCAGCATTCCCAGAGGGAACAGCAATCCCACAGGGAACAGCATTCCCAGAGGGACCAGCATTCCCACAAGGAATAGCATTCCCACAGGGAACAGCATTCTCACAGGGAACAGCATCCTGCTGCCAGCTCCAGCAGGCACAGGAAAACACAGCCTCCCTCATGCTCGTGGATCTGTCCCACTTGGGATGTTTCCAGGACAGAAACTGGACTGGGACTCTGGGACCAGTCCCAGAGGATGTGATGGATGTGAGGGGCAGTGCTGCCATCTTCTTTCCCTTAAAAGACTCTGTAGGAGTCCAAGGAAAGTACCCAGCAAGGTGCCTGTGGAATGCAGAGGATTGTGGGGAGCACCCAATGGGCAGACTTGGAGGAGCAGTGGGAGCCACTGGAGTGGGAATGTGGGAATTGTTAGGGTTGGAGGTGACTATGGAGACCAGCTAATCGAACCCCAAGGAACTGGAGTAGCAGGAATCTCTGGAGTGGGAATGTGGGGATCATCCAGAGGCCGGCTCAGAGGAGCAGCGGGACCTGCCGGGGTCTGGAGGACACAGCTGGACAGCCTTGGCACATGGAACGCTGTCCTTCCTGCTGGCATCCTGCCCTGGGCTGGGATCCCTGGGGAGAAGATGAGCTCTGAGCCCAGACCCAGAGAGCTCACATGCTCTCAGCCACGTGGGCTGGCAGCTGTGGGGCCAGGGGACCACAGTGCACCACACAGAAATAGCTTCTCTTCCCTGGGGAAGCGGGCTTGTTGCTTCCAAGAAAAAGTGGATGTTGTAACCCTCAGCTCCTCACACCATTTCTTTGTACCCTGAGATTATCCTGCTTCCATGCACTCAGGGCCTTTCCCTGGTGCACCTGTGGTTTTGTAAACTTTGCAGGAGAGCTGGAGGGAGGATTGTGTCCCATGTTATCCTGGGTCATTTTGGGTTAGTTGCATCATCCTCCTCACTCTGGTGGGATGGAATCACATCTGGGGAGAAAGAATTGGGAAATAGGAGGTGATGGCCTAGATAAACCCTGTGTGGAAGAAGCAGAGGAATTCCTGGGATTTGTCCTTCTTCTCCCAGTCTCTGTCATCCCAGTTCTTTGGATTTGGTTCCCCGAGGAGCTCACTGGAGCCAGACACCCGGTTCCTACTGAAGCCTACTGGGAAAGGGTTGGGATTTTCAAAAGCTGCTTAGAGCAGAAGTTGCATGAAAAATCATTGGGCATTTATACTTGTGCATCCTGTGGGTCTCCTGGGAATGCCATCCTCAGGAAAAGCTTTGTCCAGCCCTTTGTGGTTCAGCACTGGTGTCTTTGGAGTGAGATCCCAGCAGAGCTGCTCCCTGCCCTCTCACAGCTGAGCTTGAAGGTGTTTCTTATCTCCCTTTATTGTATGAAAGGTTATGGATTATTCCTGTTGCACCTCCCAGTCTCTTGGAGGTGGGTAGGGCTGAAGGGTGGGAGCTCACCGTGCACTGAGGACGGTGCTGGACCCTCCCAGGGTGTCTCAGTGTCCCTTTTGTCCCCAGGTCATGCGCTACCAGGTGCTGCTGGCCCTGATGCTGTCCAGCCAGACCAAGGACCAGGTGACGAGCGCTGCCATGCTGCGCCTGCGCCAGCGCGGCCTCACCGTGGACAGCGTGCTGCAGATGGATGATGAGAGCCTGGGACAGATCATTTATCCCGTGGGATTCTGGAGGGTGAGTGCAGGATCGCCACAGGGACACAGAGGAACCCCCTGTGCCCTTCTTGCGGGGAGCTCTCCCCTGGGATCAGGCTAAAAGCTGGATTTGACACCAACTTTGGCATTTTGTATTGCCAGCAAGATGAGATTCTTGGCTGCAGGATCTGGAGCATGCAGGGAGCTTGGAGCTCCCAGCTCTCAGCATTTTGACTGCAAATAGAAGTCAAGGCTCTGTCTCCTCCACGGCTCCCATGTGTAACACACTCAGGAATGGCTGCTTTTCTGGGCTGCGTGTCTGTTTTCCCTGTGCTGGAGGGCAGCTTGGATTGTGTACCTTTCCCCTTGGTTTTCCAGAACAAGGTGAAGTACATCAAGCAGACCACAGCCATCCTGAAGCAGAAGTACGGGGGTGACATCCCCAGCACTGTGGAGGAGCTGGTGCAGCTGCCAGGAGTTGGGCCCAAAATGGCCCATTTGGCCATGCACATTGCCTGGGACAGCGTGGCTGGGATAGGTAACTTGGACTCTGCTTTTCCCATCCCTCTCCTAAATCCCAATCCATTCCCCAGGCAGAGGGGAAGCGCTGCAGCCCCAGCCCCCAGGAGCCTGGTAACATCCCTTCAGACATCTGCAGAGTATTTGGGTGGGGGAACGATGTGACCCTCAGCCTCTCACTCAGTGAGCTGTAGGATTTAAGCAGCTGCTGTTCCTCCCCAAATTTGACAGCAGAAATTCCCAAGGGAGGTCACTGCCCTGGGGAGCTGGTGCCAGATGGGGCTGGAGCATCACCTGCAGGTCCCCGGGGATAGATTAGCATTCCAAAAGGATGTGCTGCTTGATGGAAGAGCCCTGGGAAAGCCAGGACGAGGCGGGAGCTGGATCCTGCAGCCCCTCTGGTGACCATCAGCTGGACAGGCCGTGGCCCCTGCACTGCATCCAGCAGCTCTTGGGCTCTGCTGTTCTCCTGCTGTGGGGGAGGGAAGTCCAGAGGCAGCCAAACCAGCCAAGTGTTTTCCAAATAATTGTGTGCTCCGTTTTGATTTGGGAGGCAAGGCTTAGTCTTCCTGTTTACAGCAATTTCCTGGGTTTTGCCCAATTAGCCCCAGAGACAGGTTTATCACTGCTGATCTAACAATAATACACTTTGCATTCAGAGCTTTTGAGCTCAAAGCACATTATAAACACTGCTTTAAGCCTCCCAAGCCCTCTCTGCTGGTGGGTATTATGAAATGTGTTTTCCACGTGGGCAGAGGAAGGGGCAGAGATCACAATTTGCGTAACTTCAGCTGAAACTCCGGGAGGATGAGAACGTGGAGAGGGATGGGGGGCCAGGCTGCCCTGTGCCTGCTCCGTGGGGCAGGGGAGCCTTGGGAGAGAGGCTGTCTGGGGCTGTGTGAGCCTGGGGAGAGACACCCACCCCAAATGCTTTTGGCTCCGGGCCTGGGAAGAAAATGTTTGTTCTTGGAGTGAGCAGCCCCTGCCCTGCGCTCCCGCTCCCCCGGCTGCTGCCCGCAGGGGAAGCCTTGCCCTGGGCCCGGTGGCTGTCACAGGCAGCTCTGGCTCTGCTCTCTCCGTTCAGGTGTGCCTGCCCCACCTAAACTCTGGGCTCTCCCTCCCCAGCTGTGGACACCCACGTGCACAGGATCTCAAACAGGCTCAAGTGGGTGAAGAAGGAGACCAAGTACCCCGAGGAGACTCGGGTGGCACTGGAGGAGTGGCTGCCCAGGTGAGCCTCTGCTGGCTGCAGGAGCCATGTCTGCACAAAGTCCTGCTTGGGGCAGTTCCAGGGACTGCATTTTGGCTCCCTCCTCTTTCCAGGGTTGCAGTAGCTGCAGGTGTTTCCCCTGTGCCAGAGCTGCAGCAGCAGCACCTCACCTGCGTGCTGGTTCTGTTGCTGTCAGATGGATCAGTCTCCACCAGCAGAGCTCTTGACCCCTGATTTTTGCCTTACCAAGCTGACCACGACTCAAGCCAGGTGCTTTTCCACACAGGGCCTTGCTGAGCCCAGTGGCCACAGCAGCATCAGCCCAGGGCTGGATCCTGCCCCCGCTGGTGATTGATTTTCAGTATTGAACAGCAGCTGACACGTACACAGGGACAGCTCCACACCTGGCACGTGCCCGAGCACAGGCACTGCTCCCCACCCAGCTCAGCAGGAGCAGGAAAGGCTGGGAGGGCTGTTCCTAGCAGGGATCAGGAAGGGCTGGGACTCACCTCCAGGGGAAGCCAGGAGGAACAGGCAGAAGGGGAAAGGGATCCCATTAACACCACAGGCTGTTCCTTACCCCTTCCAAGCAGCTGTGTGGCAGCACTGCTGTTTCTCCTCTCGCTGCAGGGACCTCTGGAAGGAGATCAACTGGCTTCTGGTGGGCTTTGGGCAGCAGACCTGCCTGCCTGTGAACCCTCGCTGCAGCCAGTGCCTCAACCAAGACATCTGCCCAGCTGCCAAGAGACCCTGAGGGACCATCCAGCCTTTGGAGAGCCACCAAGCTGCTTGGGCTGAGTCCTGCTAAAGCTGGGCCTGGCACAGGGCTGGCAGTGTGACTGCAGGGGACAGGAGCCTGCTGCAGCAGCCCCAGGGAGCAGCCACTGGCAATGGCTCAGCTCTCCAGAGGAAAAAGGGGCTTTGAGAGGCAGCAATCCTGCTGGGACAGAGCTGAAGGCTCCAGCCTGGTGAATGGCTGAGCATGTGCCAGCTGTGCCACACTGAGTCACTGGAGAGGAAAGCTTTGTGCTCAGGGACTTGCTGCTGCTTGTAAATACTCGTTTAATAAAGGTGGTGAGGGGTTTTTTTTGCACCCAGGAGCTTTGCTGGCCTTTGTGTGACACTGGCTGAGGGGAGAACGTGGGTGACCTCAGCAAGGCTGAACCGTGGCAGCCTTCCCAGCTCTGGCACACAAGCAGCTGTGCTACCAGCAGGACAAGAGCTGTGCCAGGGGGCATCCAGGGTGGACAGCAGGATTTCCATTTCTTCATGGAAAAGGTTGTTAAACACTGGAAGGGGCTGCCCAGGGAGGTGCTGGAGTTCCCAGCCCTGGAGGTAACACTCGGTGCTCTGGGCTGGGGATGGGACACAGGTTGAACTCGATGATCCTGGAGATCTTTTCCAACCTTGGTGATCCCGGGATTCTGAGGTGCAGCTGAAGCTTTTCCAAGGCAGGAGCAGAGGGAATCACTGCCTGGATGAGTGGATGAGGACCTGGATGAGGGTCCTGGCAGCAGGGCAGGAGCTGAGCCAGTGCCACTGCGTGTTCGTGCCACAAGGGTTACAGCAGCCACCCCCAGGAGCTGACAGAGGGACAGCACCACCCCTGGTTTTGTTCTTCAAAGAAAGGGCAGTGCTGACTTCATTGTGGAGCTTCAAAGGAGTAATTCCAGCTCCTCTTTAAAGAGGCGAGGGAGGAAGCAAAGTTTACAATGTGCTAAAGGGCTGCAGTTCCGCTCTGGGCTCCCTGAGCAGCTGAGGAAGGAGCAGATAAGGGCTGGGTACATGGCAAACCAAGTTTATTACTGACATTACCGTGTACATGGTGGGTTTGCAATGCTGCTGCCAGCCTTAGACTTTATTGATTTCTTTCTTTTCCAAGTTAAATGTACAGGAACTGAATAATTACTACTGAGCTACAAGATGTCAGGAATGCAGTAATGCTTCAACCAGGAGCAGTTTCCACGGACTAAGAGATTAAAATTTTCAATCTTACCAACACGGATTTGCACACCTGATTTCTTTTGATCTACATTCAACACTACACAAGGTTGTTTTTTTTTTCTCTTACTCCCCCCTTTAAGTACAGCAGTCCTGGATGAGAACTGGGGTGTTGTCACCAGGTCTGTGCTCTCTGCCGTGTCCTGGGAACGCTCTGCCCTCCACAGCCCAGCGCTGCCGGGGTTTGGCAACACGGGCACGGGAAGCAACGTGCACACCATGGAAAAGAGCTCCTTCCAAACATTACCCAGAGAGAGAAGACAGTATTTTGGGGGCCAGAAAGAGAGCAGGAATTTGAAGTGGGAGGGGGAAGAGGTGTCTTGTTAATGGCAGAGCCCCGAGGGGAGGCAGCCTCTCCACATCCCCCATCACCCCAGCGCCTGTCTCGTCACCCACAGCCAAACACCTGCACCTGTTCCTCTCCAAAGTCATTATTTTCAACCTGTTCAGCCCATCGACAATCCTAGAAGATAACTTTCCTAAAGAGAACTCATCTCCTTCACCCCTGAGGCTCTCCACACTCTCCTGCCAGCAGCATAAGGCCACGGGCTCCAGCTGCTCCCCAGGGAAGCCAAACACCCTGTGCTGAGCCCCAGCCTGCTGCTGAGGAGAGCAGAGAATGGTATAAGGCACCTTTTAGCTCCAAAATGTGGAAATACCTTAGGAAATCCGTGCAGAGCCGTTCCCACATCCATAGCACACTGACCACGCGAGGGTTTTATCCCAGCAGGACACAGCCACAGCTCTGTGGTCACACCATCCACGGCCAGGGGACTGGGAAAAGTGGCTTTGTACTCCCAGTCCCTTCCCACAGCCAGGCTGGGATTGCTGCTGGGGTGTGGGAGGGAGTGGGACAGCCCCAGCCCCTGCCCTGCTAACTCAGCTCTGCTACCTGGGAGCGCTGCAGCTCAGCTGAGTCACCTTCACTCACACAGCCAAAGGCAACAATAAAGAGCTTACACGGACTTAATCTGTAATGCTTTAAAGATACACTCAATGCCCAGAGTGGGGCTTTGGAGGAGGCCACAGGAAGTCAAAGGTGCTGCCCACTCCATCACACCAGTGCCTGCTCCATCTCCAGCCCCACGGTTTCAGAGGATGTCCTTCCAACGGTGACACTCCCGGCTGGGGCCACCAAATCCCAGCCCAGGTGGGACCTGGACCAGCCCCACTCCCCAGCACCGAGCCTCAGTTAGAGCTGCTCCCTCCTGGAAGCAGATGTTGGGTGATCCCCGCTGCCAGGTCTGTCCAAGGAGTTTTTGTAGCATCTCGTGGTTCTCATCTTCGTGCTCCGTGGGGCAGGACTGGCCCCTCTCCCTCCTCCCCTGCCACATCCACGGCTGCAGGCAGGGAGAGCTGTGCCCTTTGGCTTTGGGGTTTGCTTTTAAACCCCACCCTCTCCCTTCTGCACAGCTGTTTGGGGTGGAAAATGGGCTTTTACTGCCTGGGCAGGAGCTGCTGCTGGGGGGAGGTTCCTAAACTAACTGGAAACACATGGGACTTCAATAAAATAAAAAAAAAACACAAAAAAAACCCCAACAAAACAAATACTTTTGCTTCAATAGCAAAGCCAACAAACCATTTCCAGCCACAGTCCATCTTCCCGTGGTGGGAGTAGCTAATGCTGGGCATGGGGAGCTGGGGAGGGGGGTCCTGGCACCCCCACCCTGCAGGGACCCACCACGAGCCGTGAGATGTTTCCACAGGGGCACAGAGCATCCCACAGGGCTCAGCCTGGGACACCCACAAAGCCAAAACACCTCACAGAAAAAGTAAAAAAGAAGTAACAGAAGCCTAAATGATGCAGGTAAGGAACAAGAGTTAAAATTCTTCCAGTCCTTTCTCATAGGAATGGGGGACGGTGGGCAGCTGGAGCCGGGCTCAAGAGCAAGCGAGAAAAGGAGCTTTGGTCACATTTGTCTTATGAGAATCGCTGGTGAGTAACAATAACAATAATAATAACAACAACAATAATAATAAAAAATAAAAATAAAAAGGACTTTAAAATACGCCTCGTAAAAGCAACCAGTGAAGAGCAGAGCACAAAGCATCTCACGTGGACACCGAGGGACAGGGCGTAGGCACCTCAGAAACGTCCGAGCTGGGGCAGAGGAGAGCGGACGGCGGCCACCAGCAGGGCTCAGAAATTGCTGAAAATCTCCCGTTTCTTGTTCCAGTCCATCTGCGGCGCTCGCTTCTTCACACGCTTGGCCCTCACCTTCTCCTTGGCCTCGGCGGCCGTGGGGCTCAGGCTCAGCCCGCTCTCCTCAAACGGGTCCTTCTTGTCCGTGTCTCCGTCCTGCGTGGGAAGGGAGGGAGTGTCAGCCTTCCCACGTCCTCACACGGAACCCCCGAGGGTGGAAAACCCTCTGGGATCATCGATTCCCACCTCGTCACCAGCACTGAGTGCCACATCCAGCCATTCCTCCAACACCTCCCAGTGCATAACAAGCCCACCAAGGATTTCCTCCAGCTTGCACAACAAGCAAATGCTCAGGGATGGGTTTTTTAGGAGCAGAAAGTCAAAGCTCCTTCCCTGTGCTGTGCCTGTGGAGTTCATTTGTTTTGTGGGGGTGTTTCCCCTGCCTGAACAATGTGTGACTGCTCAGCTGGAAGTGGAAAAGCAGGAACTGGGGAGGTGCTGCCCACTGCACTCGTGTCAGCCGTGGGTAAAGCCAGCACGGAGATCTTTGGTTTCAGGGAAACATTTCAGAGCTCTCCTGCTGCCCCACCACACGTGCCCAGCTCTGAAACAGAGCACAGACCCTGCTGATAACGGTGGGCAGAGCCTTCCATCAGCACTGAGATAACAGCAGGGCTGAACTAAACCAAACTGAGCCCAGGAAACCCCCCCAGGGACCCCTGAGCAGCCCAGGAGAGCTCCAGCACAGCCCACCTTCCCAACCCAGGGACTCTGACTGGTGCAGTGACCACGGGAGAGCCCCCAGGACACAGCCTGGCTTTCCCAGGGCAGAGCCATTGGATCAGGACATGCATTATTCAGCTCCTCAGGGGGGAACTGGCAGATTGCAGGCGCTTGGCCACAGCTGGTGCCCGAGTGAGGGTGCTCAGAGAGGCCGTGTGAGCACTTGGTGCTGTCACATTCCTGCTCCCAAATGTCCTAGGGCAGGGGACAGCATGGCAGAGACCCCACAGGGCACCTGCATGGAGACTTTGCTCTATTTACAGCAAAGCCTTGTGCTAAAGGTAAATTTTTGAGCACTTTGTGAATCCCCAACTTCTTAGTGCAAATCCCCACTTCTTATTTTAAGAGGAGAAAAACCTGCTAAGTCATTAATGCCTGAGAATACTGATCTATGCCCTGTGTTGACTTTTGGTTGCCACTTCACCTTGCCCAACAAGTTTTGAACCTTTCCAGTGTTGAGCCATACCACAGAAACCCCTTCAGCCTGTCCCCAAAAACAACCCCTCCCCTCCTTTAAACACTGTGATAAATTCACTGTGCTCCAAATTTAAAAAAAAAATAATAAATAAATTAAAATTGGCTTTTTTTTTTCAATTTTAGCCTGCCCTGGTGCTGCTGGCAGCACTTGAGCCTCACAGCTCTGCTCCTCACAGATCCCCAGCCTTGCTGTAGCTCATCAGTGTCATTACACCTCAGATCCCAAACCCTGCAGCCATCCCTTCAGCTCCCACCTCCCAAATTACCCAAGCAGGAATCACTGCCCAAGGAGGTGCCAGTGAACACCCACAGTGCAAGGGATGAGAGAAAAGCCTGGATTTTGGTTGCTGGGTGGGTACAAGTGAACCTTGTCTGGGAGATAAAATAAAACTGATTGATAGAGAGCACTGTGAGGCAGGATTGCACTCAGGGTGCAAAAGGGACAGGGAGCCTTTGGGGTTTTTACCTCAGATTCCTTCCCAGGACTCTGCAGGTCGCTGTGAGATGAAGATGTGGATCCTCCATTCAGCTGGAGGAAAGGAAAACATCAGTTTGCTTTGTGCCAGAGTAAAAAACACAACAAATCCCTGGATCCAGCAATGCTGGGCTGCTCCAGGGATGGAACAGAGCTGAAGGGATGGATGGTCCTGCTGCAGGAGCTCCCCTGCATCCCCTGCTGCTCTCCCACACCCCAGGCAGGGCCCTGGCACCTCCTGCCACAGCTGGGGCACTGCCACCTTCTCCTCTCTCCCAGGGATTAAATGGGGCTGAAATTGGCCTTGATCAACCTCTAAATTGAAGTTGTGGTGGGGAGTAATTAAAGCAGGAGGCAGCAGTAAAGCTGAGCTAAATGAGCCTTGGGGACTTGAGCATCCAGGCTCACCTGGCACAGGGAAAGAGGTTTCCAGGGAAAGAGCCTGATCCCTCCTGCTCACTCCAACACATCCCCCCAGGCTGTCCCCAGGGGCAGGTGAGGACTCACCTGAGTCTGTGCAGATCCATTTGTCATGGGCTGGGGCACCACACCTGGACACACAGAGAAAACACCCAGTGAGTCCCCTCAGCTGGGATTGCTGCCTCAGCTCCCAGGAGAGCATCCCTCAGCAGCATCACCTGCCATCCCACACCTTCCTCCTCCCCTGCCCACCCCAACCAGCTCATCCTGGCTCTTGACTTTGTGCTGTGCTGTTTCCCTCTCCCTGTGCCCTTCTAGAACCACATCCTTGCCAAATCCCCTGATTTCACTCCATTTCACCCTTTTGATCAGAGGAAAACACCTGCCAGGAAAAGGACCAAGTAACCTCCTTCTACAGGCACTATCTGCTGCACACTCCCATTTTTTTTTTGACCGTTAGCTTGTTTTCAGAAGTTCTTTCATCAAAAATCTTAAAAGTCAACTCAAAAATCTTCATCAAAATCAGCATCATGGTGTTGTCACAACAGTGTCTGGCACATAACTGGCTCCCCAGGCCCTCTGGAATTTTTCTTTTTGCTCACTTCCAATGATTTACTCTAACAATAACCCACACAATGGCAATTTTTATGCATTTAAGCTGCCAGTCACCACGATCAAGTCATTGCCCCAGGCATTACCATGTCTCACTGTTCCAGACTAACAGATGTGTTAATTGGGACAGGATTAATAACTGAATGATGTCAAGCATGGACGCTTTCCCTAGGGACTGACTGGGGGCTGCATCATTGCAGACTGCAGGCATTTCTGGGGCAAAGCAGAAAAATACACCTAAATCGTGATTTTGAGACTGTGCTGGTGCAAAAACCTCCTTAAATATTGTTTTGCAGTGAATGTTGGACTCGTGTTTAGAGTAGGATAAGCTCTGAGCAAAGGGCATCACAAGAGTCAGCTCACACAGAAGGGATGTTTATGTCTCTGGTATTGTAGCTGGCTAAATTTTAAATTACTGAAATGAAAAACAAGCTTCAGATGGCAAGGAATAGAAAAGTGGGACTGAAACAAATTTGCCACATCAAGAAAAACTTAATCTAAAAGTCACTCAAGCTTGAGGTGCCCAGGATGAGCTGCAAGGCTTGGAAAGTGTCAGTCTGAGGTGCAAGAGCAGAATTTACCAGAGCCCTCTGGCACCAAGGCAGGTGCCAGGCAGACCCAACTCCTGCTCCCTGGTGAATGCAGCACCCAGCCACGCTGCCAGGAACAAGGGCTCCTTTATGGCAGTGCCAGCAGCCAGCCCCAGCTCCTCCTCGGAGCATCTGACACCCTGTGGCTCCCCAGCATTGTCTGACCCATTTCTGGGGACAAATCTGCCCATTGAGCATCCCAGGAATCAGATAAGGAGCAGCTGTGCTGGGAACAGAGCTGCCCATTGAGCTGGGGACAGGCCAGGCTGGGAGCTGTGTCCCCAGCCAGCGTGGGGCAGGTTGGGGAGTGGATGAGCAGCTTTCCCTGCCAGGTTTCGGTGGCCAGGGAAACATTTCCTGCAGCGGGCATGCCGTGATCAGGCAGCGTGGAGCCCTTCCCTCTGCACGTGGAGTCTGCAGCTGCCCACAGGCTCCTTCACTGGAGCAAGGAGCAATCAGGGAATCAGAGAATCGTGGTGTGATTCAGGTTGGAAGGGACCTTAAAGCCCATCCAGTCCCCCCACGGGCAGGGACACCTTCCACCAGAACAGGCTGCTCCTGTTCAACCTGGCTTTGAAGGCTCCCCCCAAATCCCACCACACCTCAGACCCTTGGTGGCAGCGAGTTCCTGAGCTGATTATTCACCCTGTAAAAGCAACAAAGTGTTTTTTTGGCTGGGTGAGGGTGCATTCTCACTATTTATAAATAGCTGGGTGGTGCTCAGGAAACTACTGAGGGATGAGACAGGAGGGAAACGTGACTCTCCCGAGATCCCACCCGTAGCACAGGGTCTCCTCCCTGGGAAGGTCTCACCTTTGGTGTGCTCCTCCGTGGGGGTCACCCCCAGCTTCTTGAAGTACTCGTCTGTCTCGGGGTCCACCACCAGGAGCCTGGCTTCGCTCTCCCTGGATTTGATGTGGGACACCACCTCCGAGTGCCGCAGGCCCTCCACGTTTATCCCGTTCACCTGCAGAAGCGCGGCATCAGAACCCAAACCTGCGCCCAGAGAGGCTGCTCCTGGC